AGCTACAGAGCTGCTTTCAGAGAAAAGCCTGACAGTGGTTCATTGAGGTTTATGCTGGTAAGAATTAACTTGCACAAGTTGTCAGTGCTTTTCCATAGGTGGTCATTGGTTTTCAGAAATTACTGCTTTTTTCACTATTAATGAAGCTTCATCTTTCCATTGGATCATCTCTAACCTGCTGTAATTGTTCTGATTTTTATTTTTTACCTTGTTCACCAGTTCATGTCTAAATACAAGAAGATGTTTATATTGCATACATTCAGCTTTAATTGGCCCTTAAAAGAAGGTGTTGATTAGAATCTTCTCAACATCAACAGCTCGCTCACACAACATTCTCTAATTACTGTTTATTAATTTAGTTCAAGTGGCATAGTTGAAAGCCCTGCTCAGATGGGAGAAGTAAATTGTCACTGGTATTGAATATGTAAATTATGTGCCATGTAAGTTTCCATGAAGAATGTTTAAAGTTAAATGTTATCCACATAAAGCCTTCCAGTTTCATCTAAGCCAGCCATATGACAGCTTTGCTAAAAGTGTCATGAAAATTTACCAGCCCTGGCAAAAAAAGTACTTGCCTATCCTTTACTTTTTTCCTATTAACATAATCATTATGATAATAATAATTTATTTGCCCATCAAAGAAAAAAAAAGTAATCATTCATTCTGGCTGGCTGGAGATTTGCAAAGCTGCCAATTGAATCTGAATTACATGTTGCTACAGTATAGACATTCAGCAGCCTGGATTTCTTGCCCTAGTGCAGTAACCCTCCCTTCTCTTTAATTAGCTTATAAAGTCAGAATTTCTTTAACAAAGTACTCATTAAACATTGCCTTATTACATTACTTTAAAATGCAATTAAAAGTTTTAAGAGTGTCGTGGAGTTTGTGTGCCATTGTCAGCATCCATGTCACTCACTATCAGTTTCCACCCACTCACACAGATCAGAGGCCTCCTGTTAAATATAGATGGCACTTCATAGCATTTCTATATAGACTAGGCATAAACCAATATCCTGATGAGGATGACCTGACTGCACCTTATGTTTCTGGGAATAAGAGAGGAATGGAAGGGGGGACATTCTAGAGGAAGGAGGAGCTCAGAGTATTTGTTGTCCTTCCACCTCTACAGTTCTCTCTCTGCAGCCCTTTGCGTGGGAGTAGCTGCACATTGTTGGTAAGTGTGCTGCTTCCAAGTCTTCCCAGACAAAGCTGCTTGGGAATACCACACAGATATTCTGTTATGCTTCTGAAACAAGAAAGAACAGACATTGCCTTAAAAGAGAATTAAAAATATCCAATGCCTGAATGCTGCCTGGGCCTTCACCCAGTCCTCACACTCTCGCTGGCTGCTGTTATCATGAATGGCACTAATCAGTTCCAGGAAGTCTCTACAACAAGCATTATGTCACATATGGTTACATCATTCCCTCTAACCTCTAGGGCTTCCTGTTGACATCTCTGGAGCTCTTCTACTACCAAATGGTATTAGAAGAAATGCCAAGCTGTATTTTTATCCATTTCTGTCTGCCAAAAGGAATTCAAATGTTTCCCATTTGCAGGTTTTACCTGCTGGGTCTCATCTTTGCTTCTTAAAATGAGCAAACCTTAGTGAGCCTTCTCAGGGTCTCTCCAGATGTTTGCCTAAAGGATGGTAAGTACATGTGAGGGGTTATTGAGACAGAAGGGGCTAATGCCTCTGCAAAATGTATTTATTCTTAATGTCTACCAAATTGCTAATCCAGCCTGTCAGTTGTGTAACCTCTGTTACAGCAAGCTATTTCTCTGTTTTGTTCTTAATTCTTTCCGAGTAGATGCTGCTTCCCAGTGTGGGCTTTCACTTTCTCATTGATTTCAAGCATTGTGCTGCTTGGCATTCCCCTTTCTCTTTGCAGGCCCATCTCCAAAGGTAGGAGCCATTTAACTCTTGAAACAAACAATGACACCCCATCAGCTTTTTCTTGCAACCCCCACTTATACAACTGCTTAGCTGAAAAAAGCAGGGCTCAAAGTCTTTCCAGACATAACGAGCAAGATTTTTCCTTCTCGAAAACCACTGTGTTCATTGGTTTGGGTGGTTTTTATTCTTATTATTTGTCTGGTTTATACCATCCTTTCATTCTAAGAGTTTTATTTTTGTGGCTGTTTCTGTGTTTATTCACTGCTGCAGTAGGTATCAACAACATGATTAAATTTCAGCTCTGACTGTTGCAACATAAACGCTCTGCCTTCATTATCTGCAGTGCCTAAAACTATTTGATCTCTAATAAGTTCACCTGCAAGTGTGCCTCATTTGCATGATGAGGCTAACTGGTGCAGCCTGGGTGCATATTGGTCTGTGATTTCAGCTTCTCTTCGATCAGATGCATCAAACAGAAGGAACTATTAGAATTGCCAGCGACTGTATTTTTTTGTGTTAATCATGCTAGAATACTAGGATTCCCAGGCAGCCTTACCAGGCTGGAGAAATCCAATGATAAAAAGCATGGGAGTGCTTCTGATGTCAGATCACATACAAAACAGTGCTGTGCTGGGGATAGTTGGTCTGGTTTGATGGCATACAGTGCTAAGATCATACCCAGCTCCTGAGCAGGTTATTCAGTAGCCTTCTTTGGAAAGCTGTACATCCCATTGCCCTAAGCCCTTGAGGGAGCTGTGCCACCCAGCAAGGACCTCTCCCCTGGCCCATCAGGCTCACAGCTGGAAGTGTCTTTCAGCATCTCTGAGGGTCTCTGCCTAAATGCCCCCAGGTCACATTCATCCCTGCTGGTCCTGTACTTAGATCCATCTGACATTTATTTGGCAGTAATACACAGGGTTTTATTGCCCGAAGTGTGTAGGAAGAGAAAATGTTAGGAACCTGAACCTTTCTTTGTGTGTGAAATGGAAGCAGCAGACTTCAAAGCTAAATGTAAGAAGAGAACAGCAGCTCAGTGATTGTGAGATTCATAGCAATAATGCTGCAAACGTGTCACGTTGCCTACTTCCTTTCTAGATCAAGCTCAGGATAGGCCTTGTGTGTTTTACTGTGTTCAGCATGACTTTAAGAAATGTAATTTGCCCCATTGCAGCAACCCTTACTTCTCTAATTTCAGATTTCAGCTTCTTACATTGCATTTTCATTTGAGACAACTTTTATTTGGGCTGAATGATCTCAGAGAACATCAAAATGTCTCTCATTGCTCTGAATGGGTCCTAGACTGAGTTTGCATTTCATACACAAAAACAACTCTTTTCTTTTCCTCTTGGGCTCACACAGCAAATAAAAAACTAAACCAAGCAGAACCAAACAAAAGAATTCTGAGAAGCTCATCAGCAGTATTTGCTTTATACAGAACAGTAATTTTTCCCTAGCACATACTTCCAAGAATTTTTTAAAATGTCATTCATACATCATCTGCCCCAACAGACAATAGTTGTTCCAGAGAAGCTGTTGCTCTCTATTAGGTCAATGATCAGTGAACTAAACATTTTCTACTTAGGCCCTCATATGATAAAAGCCTAAGAGCTTTGAAGGAGCCATTACAGACTATTGCCTAGAAGAAATATCCATTTGAAAATTCAGCAATTATGTACTTCTATAATAGCGTGTAAAAGGAGCTCTGGACCCATTATGGGTTATTGAGTAAATAATGTATTTTTAAAAGTGTCTAAGTAATTTATATGATAGCCTGTATTGGCAGCAAAGAGTGATTGTAGACTAAACATTCTGTCTTTCTCTCTTTTTAAAAATCTCATTTAAATCCCTAAATAGCAATTAAAGAAAGAAATCCCTGATGCAGTTTCAGTATTTCTATAGTAGTCAATAGCTAATGGCTCTGACTTTGCTGCATTGAGGCTGCCATTTTGTGCTGAGACAGTTTTCTCTGGTCTGACTTTCTTTTTTTGTCTTGATTGGATAAGACAGGAGGCTTCATTATCAAATATAATATAGAAGTGTCCAGAGGCCTCCTGGAAGTCAGACTCATAGTCATCAGACCTACCCATAATCAGGAACAGCCACTAGCCAGAAGAGCCACCAGCCCAGAGAGAGAAGACAGGAAGCTGTCAGTCCCTACTCTGGGGAAGAAATGAGTCTTGGAGAGAGGAAATATGTTGTTTGAGATCATGCAGGGAACAAAGAACCTCTACCTCCCAAGTCCAAGTTTAGTTTCCCTGTTTTATGTGTGGACCTTTCACGGAGAGGCACAGCCTGTGCATCTTGAGTGCTAATGCAAACTGCTGCTCTGTCAGGTGACCTCAATAGTCTTGCTTTAGACCACTGCATTCAGCCCTCTCAGGCACAGATCCTGGTCAAAGCAGATAGAAAAACACAGCAGTTCAAAAAATTTGCATTGTAGCAACAATGCACTATGAAACATGCAGGAAAGCAACCTTGTTTTCCTCTTGTAAGCATGGAGTAAGTTTCCTTAGTCCTCCCATTTATTTATCATACTGCTTCCTGCTATAGCAGGAATATAGTATAGTCACCTCTTTAATAATTTTTTGTCAAAATTTAAAAGAATAAGTTGAAACAGTTTTGTTCATTTTTAAGAAATACTGCTGCTCGAGCTGCTCTGAATTTTGGACATTATCTTAGGATCTCTAAATATCTGTCAGACTAAGCAGCCTTCAGTGCCCCAGGGACAGTACTTGACTTCTGTACTACCTGTACCTTACAATATTGCAAGGAGCCTGACTTGAGGTAACTACAGTAAAACAATTTTATGCCTATGGTGATGCTCCATCTTAACTCTTTTTTGATGGTATTGTATCTAGCATAAATTTGATACAAAGTCTCTTTGGTGCCCTGGAACCTGCAGGTCTAGACCTGTGTTGTGACTCATTTTGTACATGAAATACCTTACCAGCCAGCAGGAAGCAAGCATCTGTTTCCCCTGTCTGCCATGAGTTCTGATTTCCCTCTTTGGAGGCTGTGTAATTCCTGCTCCTTCATATGTGTGTTCAGAGTACATTGTGTGCTTCCCAAAGCTTTTGTCAGCCATATCTCAAGATTTGACTACATCTGGTTAATTCCTCATTGTTTAAGGAAAGTGGTTCTGATGCAATGAATAAAAGTGTGGCATTTTAGCTGCCTTCTGGGAGATGTCAAGGGACAGGTCTCTGTAGTGAGGCTGCTGGCATGTGAGAATTTGTTTTTCATGGGTTTGGAAAGACACAAAGAAGAAAAGAAATGCAAGGGTAATGAGCATGTAGTTCAGAAGACAAAAAAGAAAGGGAGTGACTTAATGTAGAAATGGTAAAGTAGTATGGAGAAGCCCACCTTGTAAAGTAAAAAATGTAAAGGAAAAATATAAAGTAAAAAATGGTGAAGGACTGGTAACAGAGACAGAAATAAATAAACAAACAAGGTGAAAGTCATAAATACATCTAAGTTGAATTTGAGCAAAACATATAATGCCCAAAAAAGCAAGCGGTCTCTCCCACAGCTAGACTGTATTTGTCACTTAGGAAAGGAGAGTTATGTGTTGGGATAATTGACTAGAGTGATGATGAAGTACCTATCACTGGAGTATTTCTATGACAGAGTAGTCAAAAAGCTGGGGAATGCTGCCAGCTATTGGATGACCCTTCCAGTTTTATTTTCTATGACCTCAGCATCATATAATGCCTGAGTGGGAGAAGTACCTCAGTTGTGTGGTCATGGAAACCTGTTTCTGACCTGGTCACCTCCTCACCAAAATTCTCTATGATCTCAAAGAGTAAACAAGGCACAAATTTGGAAATTAAGTCAATGAGGAAAATTAATATAGAGGGGGAAAAAGGAAAAAGGAACTGGTCGATCTGCAGACATTTGCTTCCGACCTTTGGCCCCATGCCACAAAACTTGCAATTTCCTCCTCATACTGAACAGCTCCATTCTGTAACAAACACCTAGTTTGGCTTAGATACATACCAAAGCCCTCACAACTTGAATTAAAAGCGCTTGGGGTCTTTCTTCCAAGAACAGAGTTATTAATTGATCTACTGTGCTCTAAATAGTTCTGTTCCCCCATTCAAGGAAAATTCCTTCTTATTTCAACCAAAGTCACACTTCTGAAGTGATCTGGGATTATTCTGGACTGGTGATTATTTCCATGCAAGCCACCAATTACTCTGTATAAAACAAAGTGCAAAACAGGCTTTTAAAAGCAAAGTCTGGAGAAGCATCAGATTGAGATGAAACAAACTTTCACTCTCCCTTTATGTGGAGTTCCTCAGGGCTTGCCAACAGGACCTAGCACAGCCAAGTATGCTAATGTCAGTGGTTCTCCCTTGCAGGCAGGACACTTGCATTGCTCCAGTACATATACAGCAGAAGAAGGCACAGGCCTTTAAAGTGACCACTCCTTCTTCACACAAATCTACGCTGTGTTATTTTTTTTTACACTCTGGGCCACTGAGTACAATGCTGGTAATTGGAGGAAACTGCTTTTTTTTTTTTCTCTGACAGTACTTTAGAGACATTAGATTCATTATTTGAGGGTGTGTATGAAATTCTGGAAGTAGAATTTATGTCTGCTATGCTGTGAGATCTTTGGTATGATATTGACTCACTCATTGGCACCTGAGAGAGGCTTGGGGAATTCAGCAGATTTTCAACAATCCAGTTTGAGAGATTAAACAGAATTATAGCTCGCTCAGGTTTCTCCTAATTTTATTAGATTTTCACCATTTCTAAGTGCATAAACATATGCAGCCAAGTATGCAGGTGGGGACTGGGATGATGTACAAGGACACTCAGGCTCCATAGGCACCTAATTGGTGGACTAAGCAATAGGGCACTTGGAAAGACTGGTATTTTTTCAGAACATTCTAGGGTAAAATTCTGTCCCCATTAAAACTGAAGCAATCAAGAGAGGAAAGATTTTATCTATAGATTCTGTTGGAGCCTCAGAGAAAGAGATGAGAGGAACTATCTGATGCAGAAAATATCTAGGATGAAGGTGGTTGTTGTGGGCAAGATTAATTACTTATTTGTCTTGGACGCAGGAAAAAAGATACAATGTCTCAAGACCATAGAATTCACCTGATAAATATGGTGATATCAGAAGGTTTTTGATCAGGACTAAACACAGAACAAGCAATGGTTAAAAATTTCAAATAATAGCAGGACAAGTAAGAAGTAATTTTGAACATTGTTATTATTAGCAAATGCTAAGCTGTAATATTTTCAGTGATATTTTATATTTTATTTTAGAAAAGAAATCTGGTTTTTCTATGTATAGGAGAACTCCTGAGCCTATGGTATGCTATGGTAAAGTGACACCAGCTGAGGTACTGGCCCGGCTGTTTATGTGGGTACTTTCTCATGAAATAATATTGTTATCCATATTTCTTAAGGGAATGCTGCTGTTGACTTATTTTCTACAATCAAAACAGAAAAAGGAGTAGGAGGGAAAAGTCTACACTCTGGGTTTTGCTCTGCAGTGTTCGTTTCTCTGATACAGCATCTGCACTACGAAATTCACCCCGAATGGACACTCAGATGTTTTTACTTCCAGCAGAGAGGACACAACTCTCAAGCTGAATTAGGCCATTTGGAGAGGTTTACCAAAATCTCCATGGGTTACAGACGCAAGACTTTTCTCTCAAACTGGTCTGGACTGAGCACTTAGTGTGTAAGTAAAATTTTAGGTTTTTTTCCTTTTGAAAAGTAGAATAAACCAAAGATGTTGGTCACATATTTGGACCTGGACTTCCCAGCAAAATCCTCTGAAAAGTCAGAATATTTAGTAAACAGATTATGAAATATTTTCTAGCAAAAAAAAAAAAAAAAATACAAGAGGGATTTAATAATGTTGGGATGAAGTTTTCTGTTAATGACTTTATTTTCTTCTTCCTCCTGTTTAGGCAGTAACATGCGAACTCTGACCACATCACCGGTGTGAAATTGCTGATTAACCTTTTGACTCTGACAATTGGGACTTCTCTCAACACCAACTGGTAATGCAGAAGACCATTAGTAGTTAATATTGGGACATCCCAGCTCCAGATGTCAAAAGGTTAATGAAAAATCAAGTATCTTGCTTTTGCTGGGGAACTTGGAAACCTTCCCCCCAAAGCAGTTAATTTTTTCTGATAAATAAGCCAGACTGCTTGAGCTGAGAAAGACGGGTGTTTTGCTAATGTGTACAGCTGTTAATTGAAAAAGATTTGGGTATGCTTGTTCTTTTGGATGTAGATAAAAGAGAGATTTGTTGGCGAACTTAGTTAGTCTTGAACACCCCTTTGTTCAAATACACTACATAATAATAACGCTTTGTTCTTTCTGTAACAGCCATGGAGGGATTTTGAGTAGAATACTCATTTTCTTTAAGTCATATCTGCCAGTAATCATTCCTGGCTTAAGACCAGCTGCCATTTATGTGTTTTATGAAAATATAACAGTTTTACACTCAAAACTATTTTCTTTTTAGGTAAAAGCTTCAGCACAAGCTGGTTCCCTGTATCTACCATAAATGCTATTTATCGCAGATTTTGGTCTTTAAAACAGAAAGATAATGTTAAAACATTTTGATTACCCTTTCCTTGCTATCATTCACAACCCATCTTTTCTAATTATGGTATTAGGACATTTACATAACCGGGAAAAGGGTCCTTTAACTACATTTCTATTATGTTTGGCACTTCTGTGAAAGGATATTATATTCATGTGCATTAGAGATTGCTTATAAAAGATCAAGACAATAATAGCAGATCAGACGATAAAGGTTCCCTTTTCTCCTCCCAGACAGGCTGTCTCTGACAGAAGAATACAGTTCATCAAAAGTGTCTGCAGGTTGTCAAACTCAGTGAGATTTGGGGACACTCGGAGGCTGTCATGGCCAACAAGAAGATTTTCTGTAGGGTTCTGCCATCATTCACCCTCAGGAAATAATCACTCACTACATTCTGCATGCTCTCATGATAGAGCTCTATTTGAGAGAAAAGAGCCATTTTATCAAAGGACAATATATCCCTTCTCTTGGTCCATGTAGCTTCCATTATCAGACCATAATAAATCATATTTATGTTCTCAGTTAATAAGACTGATTACAATGCAGGTTACAGGCATGGGAAAAGAAAATCAGGTGAAAAGATGTTTTAATGAAAATATGATAAGCAAACAGCTTCTTGTGAACATTTCAGGCTGTTATTTGTAATGATCACAGGCAATTTTTGATACATCTTCTTTAGCAATGGTTTAAGCTGCATAAATTGGCTTGCCACTTTATACGTTGAAATAGGAAGAATCCCGGTGTCCTTCTTATGTTGTCTAGAATCATTATATACATTATAAGCATAAAATGAGTTTAATGTATGTGCTTTGAAAAGAAGGGGAAAACAGAAAATCAGGGAAGACTGATTTTAATGCTGCTCAGAATGATTTTGAAATTTTCTACTCATCTTTGTTACTAACGGTGCATTTTCCATGAAATTTAGGAATGACATGTACTGCTTTCATCTCCTTAAAATTAATATACTGTGCTCTCTGTTTTTCTCAATTTCTTCAAAGTTCTTCTTAGAGCACTGCGCAAAGAGACAGAGAGAAATTCTCCACTCGAAGCATATCTGCTGTTAATGCTGAGGGGAGTTAAGTATCTGCTTCTATAGGAGAATATACCCCAGTGTTCCTGAAGGGCACCCTGTTAATATGGTGCAAGAATGTCTAACTCTGGCACATGTAATGCATTCAAGGGCCAACTTCCACTGAATTTTTTTAAGTGATTAAGGCAGTTTTTTATTAGGGTAAATATTATGATACAATTTCAGCATATAAGTGTATGGAGGGAAGTGGCTGGTGGACTGTATCACTGTCATCTTGTGAAAAGTCTTATTTTGCTATTATGTTCAGCATTATACTTTCAAGATGGGGTTAGAAATTTGAGGAATAATTTCCTCCTGCTAATACATAATTTTGACTGGGTCTCTGAAATTTTACAGCACTTGTAGAACAATGGTGACAAAGACTCCTTGGTGTTGTGTCTGCAGGACCTATTCTGCTCTCCGGTATTTCCCTAAAATCACTTTTACACAAATTTTAAAGCATTGTATTTGTCCTGGCCCTGAAGAATGGCCATAAAATTGCCTTAACCCTTTTAGGACACTTCAAAAGAGCAGTGCCCATATAAGAAACAGCAGACTGCTCTTCAAAGGCAATATCCTGATATGACAACAGATGTAGATAATGTACTTCATGATGGAACTGCTTGATACAGAGAAAAACATGTTGTAACTGCCTTCACCGTGAAAGGGGTTTAAAAATGCTGCCTGCCAACTCCACAAAAACCAGAGCTGCTATTTCGGTTAAAGGCCAGTGGATTGTATTTTTCACGTCAGTTTTCACTAACCTCAAACATCACTGTTATGACAGATTGTCATCCAACCAAACCAGCATTCTGTTGCCATTTAAGCAAGCAAGAAAAAAGGAAACTTAAAAGTCCAAGTAGTAATTGGGGGGTGCATGTGGGTGAACTACTTTTGTGTAACAATACTGATTACTGAAAATGAAACACTTAAAAGAAAATAAACAAAAAAGCAATGCTTTCTGAGCCAGTGGTGTTTTCTTGGCTGGCAATTTCCCTTTGTTCTATTTCATGACACTAGGCTCAATGGTTGAAGGGGTGTTCTAGGCCAGATGTCAATCACAATGTCTGACATAAACAAAAATAGCTAAAAAGGCATGCCAGCATCTTCCTTTTGTTTTGCCATTAGCTCCATTTTTCTTTTCATAGGCTGACAAAAAATTACTGCCTCCAAGTGAATTCAGTAATGTCACTATATATCTAATATCTAGGAGACCTTTTGTTTTAGCTTTACTGGGCTTAACCACAAAAGACACTTGACATTGACAAAGAATCTGTCAAACATACAATGATCAGTGCAATGAAACCTCTCATGACAGAAGGGCACTATTCTGCCTCCCCCTTGCCTCCAGCAGCAGCCTGTCTGAGCAAAATATGCTGGAGCACATGTAGCAGCTGAACCATTACAGAGCAGGCCAGAAGCTGAGATGTGTCTTGCTTAAATTGTCATAGCATATTAGTATAATTAAAACTGCCAAAAGAGTAGAAAAGATAGATGGAAATGTTACATTACTTGTTTCTAGAGATTAACCCCCAGCCAGAACTGAAATTGAGAGACACGTTTTGGATTTCTCAGAGCTCTGATATGGAAGAAAACAAGCCCAAGAGTACATCTCTCGAAGTGCGAGACATGAAGTCATAGTTCCTATATTTACACCAAAAAAAAGAGAAATAGTGTTTCAGACAGACACTCTGTTTCCTCTGTGATTACAGCTCCCGTGGTGGCGGTGCTCTGCAGAGCAGTTGTATCATCTCTCAGCTAATTCCTTTCCACTCCCCTCTGCCTTTGTTCCTGCAAGGTCTTGACACCTCTTGGGCTTGCTGATGAGCCAATGTCACCCCACTTTGCCCTGTCATCTGTGGTCTTGGCTGGTGCTCCAGGTGCCCACCCCGCAGCAGTACACGGTGACCATGGTCCAGGCTCTGGGCCTCAGCAATGCCCAGCAGCAATGGTCAGGAACTCATCCTGCACAGGTTTCATCCTTTGGGCATGCCCATCCCTGGGCAAGAGAAACAAATGCCTGCAGGAAGCAGGCACAGACAGACTAGCCCTGAGATTGCTCTTGAGTCCAGTTCCCTTGTGCACAAGAGACCCAGAAAGGGAAGACTTAAACTGCTTTGCCAAAGCTGTTTCTACTTCTCATTGCATGGGAATATGTTTGAACAATGGCTTCAATTTAAAATCTGACCTTTCAAATGCCAAGCTTTATGCTTATTTCTGTATTGAATGTATAGATAAAACATATGGCTTTCTAAAATTGACCCTAACAATTATGTTCTCTTCACCAATGAGATGTTTTCCTTCCCATGCATCATTACCTCTCATAACTATTCAGGACAAACTAGTTATGATCCCAATTTATAATTATGCCCTGAGATATATCTGGTGGTAAGAAAATTATTTAAAACCTTCTGTGTGTTTGTTCAGTTGTAGATGTAGTTGTAGATATTCTCAATTTATCCAGAAGCTGGGGAGGACCTGAACTGGGCCCAATTGTTCTGAAAGAGAGAAGAAGCAGCACAACTGTCCTCTAACAAAAATGGTACATTTAAGGAGAAGGTTCAGGAATCAGGTAGGACTCACACTCATTTCTTCTAGTATTAATGAACTTCACAGCTTTGCCTCCTTTGCTGACTTGCTTTAAGTAGAGAGATGTTAAATGCGCGTCTTTAATTTTAGGTTCCTCTATATTTCCTGTATTTCCCAAATTTAAATCTTGGTTAATGACTTCTCCATATAGGGCTTGTAGATGTGCATAACTAGTAAAAAATATGTTATCTGCATTTAATGTTGGCTTTTGGAACCCTCACCGCCAAGTCACCTCTCTACTGCATCTCACCTCACATGCATTTCTGAGTTGTGCCAGGAGAAGAATGGAAAATAGCCATGAAGTAAAAGCAGATTCTGCTCCCATTAAAGGCAATGAAAACTGTGCTTTTACTTCTAGTTACTCATAATAGCGGAGAAAAATGAAGTGGAAACAAGCACAACAAAACACCTCTGCCAGCTATCTACAAGCTAACCAAGGCTTCCACTAATGAGGTGCTCTGGCATTTTAAGAAAGACAGGCTCTTCCAGCAATGGAAAAAATACACTGAGTTTTTCCTTCAGTTCTCAAAGGCTAATGAAAGAATAACAAATTGTATTTCAAAAGAGGGATGACAGTCAAACTTTTAATGCTGTCTGTGCTATTAAATACCTAAAGATGCCCATACAGTTTCTCATCAATTAAATGCTTTTACATACATATTTGGCAGCTTATTAAATATTGATACTTGCATACCTCACCGAATTATTGACTGTATTTACAGGGTCCTTTAAATGACCACAACTTTTTTGAGAAAGTTATCAATATCAAATTACAATAATGGAGTAATTTTCAGGTCAAATTTTCTAAACGAGTCTATACCATGGACAATCACATAGTCTATTAAACAAAACAGTACAGTTTGTGGAAAAGATAAAACTCCAGATCATGAGATAGCACCAGATTTCACATTATGATTTCCAGATGTCTTTGTGAGCTTAATGCATACAGCATTGGTTTAAGTCTAATCTGCATGGCAGAAATGCAAGTTGTTCCAATTTTCTCCTCACTGGGGCTGTGTGGAGAAACAGGAGGGCATTGTTCTGCTGCTTTGGAGAGAGGAGTTTACCTGAAGGACAGGGAAAAGTCACACCTAGCAGTGTCCACATCCTCATCTGGCTGCAGAAAGCTGGCAAATCTGCCCCTGACCTTTACCTTCCCACCTCAGCAGCCTTTTTTCTGCACACTTGTCTCCACACAGTGTCTCAGTCACCCCAAGACATTGGACAGAGCTGGCCTCCCTGTCCTGTTCCCCTGCCCTAACCACTGGAAGCATCAACATTCTCTTTTGTTTAGAATGCTGAAAAGATCTGAGTTACAGCAGCCTGTCACAGCTGTCAGGCTTCTGTGACAGCCTGGTTGTATTATTCTAAGCAGTGTGTGTTGATTCACTTGAAGGGAGAGAGAGGGTGGAATTTGCCAAACTGAACATCATATATGCTCACTAGAAGCTCCTGGAGTGAGTGTCTGTGCAACCAGCAGGCAGCTTCCCAGCTGTTTCCAGGGTGCAGCTTTGGAAACAGTGTTCCCTGAAAATCCACTGTAAAACAATGCATTGCATCAGTTTCCTGGACCAGGGACTAGGTGAAGTCACAGTACATCAGTGGTGGCCTGGGGGATTTACAGTATTTTGCAGGGCAGCTCAGTATCCTCCTGTGCCCAGGGGGGCACAGATGTCCAGAAGTTTCTGGAGGGTCACATGTAACTATAAACATGAAATAGTATTTCCTCTGTTACATTCCTGCTGGAGAGCATTTTACTGGTACAAGTAGGTGGGCTAGACAACAGTGCAAGATATGACAGGACATTTGCTTTTCAATTCTAGCACTGTTGGGCTGGGAAGTGAAAAAGAGCTCTGCAAACAGAACAGGTGTTTGACATGACAGTGCAATGAGAATAAAAGGTTCAAGGCTACTTTTTCTCTATGGAAATCTCTACAAAAAATTCCGAGTTTGGGGCTTTATGATTTTCTCTCTGGAATCAAATATTCAGTGTGAATTTACAGAGTGTGAGGAAGGAGTATTTTGGCTCCTTCAATCCTGTGTACAATACTTCCCAGGGTTTCAGTGAGGATTTTAGCATCTCTTGCACTCTTCAAATGTTATGCTGTGCAAGGATGTGCTTATACATAATTTTGTAATTGAAATGGCATGTTTACTGTTCTATTTCATGCTTGATTGTGTTTTTTAAACACCTTTACTCATGCTGTTAGAAGTGGGATTATAATTAAAATGTCCTGTTGAACACCTTGTTCAATTCAATGAAGGCATAATAGAAGTATAAATACTTGTTCTCGTTGACTCTGTGATGTCAGCACAACAGACACAGTAATGTCATAAAACAAATCTCTCTTTCACCAAAGCATCTGTCAGAAGGGAAGGGAAAACAGAATCTGTGACTGGGCAAAGAGAGGCCCTCCCCTTTGGAAAAAGGAAATACTTTGAGATGTTATCTGTGATATAGATGTGTTAACTAAGGCATGGAATGATTGATTGATTTAGCCAGTTATGAGGCAAAAAATAATCAGAGGGGAATTTGTTCCTTTACTCACAGTCCCTTGGCCTAAAGACTAAGTAGCACTCTCTCCTACACTTGCCATTAGGAAATGCCAAGTCTGCCTGTGAAATGTTAAGGAGTAACTTATATTTCTTAATATTCCTGTTTCCTTAAAATATATACAGATATGAAAACTTCAAGTCTTGATGGTGGAGTGGAACTACAACACAACATCCAAACATTTATTTCTAAGACACCGTACAGTGGATTCAGAACTTTTGCATAGCAATAATGGTTTCATTTTCTTTGTGTTTTCTCTTGTAGTCTAAGTTACCACCAATGATGTGATGTCTAACCTTTCTGGCAGGCACATGTTCAGTCTTAAGGAGCTTTAAATTACTTCACAGCTTGAAATTCCATGTAAGAAGGGACGTTCCAACATTTAGCCTAATTGATGCTTTCTTGGGCAGTTTACTTGGATACCTTGGCTCAGTTTCCTCCTCTGAAAAATGGGGAGAACAATGTCTGTGTTCCTTGTGCTCTTTGATGTAATAATATTTTTACTATAATAAATACTAGGCTCAACACTGCACAAACCCCATGAGGTTTTGTGTTTGTGTCCCTTAAAAGAAGACACAAAAGAGGTCTCAAAACCAATCCCAGGATGTGTAATATTTCTGTGCCAGAGCAGGACTTGCCAGTCAGTAGCTGCCCTACAGGAAAAGCCCACACGATCTTTATGAAGCAGGCAAATAAGCCGACCCAAAGGGTGTGGAAATCGCCTTCTGTACCCAGTTTCATTTCCAGCTACTTCAAGTTTAGCAGAAGTTGGATAGGCAGAGGGTTCACAGAATTTAGTCTTTAGAATGAAAATGGTAAGCAAGTGATAAAGTAGAAGGTTTATTCCCCTGGGATGACAGAGGCAGGTAGGTATATAGGACAGTACAGTCCAGACCAGAAAAAGATTCAGCAGCAGCAGGGATGAGGCTACAGAACACAGAACATGCAGGACAAAATGGACAAGAATGTTGTCAAGTAGGATTGCAACAAAACTTGGTGTATTTGTTTGAATGTCTCATTATGTGTACAGGTGCAGCTTTACACACCCACACATGCTGCATTTATTTCAGTGTGTGATCATATAAATGCCTGCAGGTGTGATACGGAAGAGATACCCATGCTGAGGCATGAATATGGAGTTCCACATCTGTATTGGCTGCCTGGCTCACACAATGAACTAGTGCAGTCAGTGAGTTCTATTTCCACCTCCTGTATGCACTTCAGAATTAAAAGCAAAGTCCATCCTGGTAACTATATTTAACAGGATGTTATAGCATAAAACTAAAATATGTGTATGGGACAGTCATCATTACCTCACTGTGTTGCACATTATATACAAAATTAGGACAAAACCAATTTCAGATAAAAATGGCCACATCATTTAAATGTATGGTAATAAATCCATTACATTGGAATTTAATGTGTCTTTTGGGACACCTAAAACTTCAGCTGGGCTTCATTGCAGTGGCTGGTTTCTCACTTCTGGCACACACAGAGATGGCTCCTTGTCTATAATACTGTCAGATAGTCCATAATCCATGGGGTGAAAATCATAGTTCTGAATCCACTGACTTGCTTACAAGTAAAAAAGTCTCAGCCATGGCATTACACTTATACAGCTGGCTTCATTAAACAATAACATGATGCTAACTACTTGACCACAAACACCCTCCTTTCTGTGTCAAAAATGTAAAATAGCTAAGAGATATAAACTGGGGGCAACCTTTTGCATGTAATTGCTGCCTGCAGACTCATGGTTGTCAAAATTTCCTACCTTTTATAAGGCCTTTAGTGATAACTTTTGTTTCCCAAAGAAAAAAATAAATCTACCAAAGCTCCTTTGAACATTTCAGCAGCCTTTCATAGTGTTAGCTGTGATAGTAATGGTGTCACATTCCTAATAAGGATGTATATAAACTGTGCTTTAGGAGTCCCTGCTGCTTTCTTTGTGGAAATGATCTCAGATGCTTTAGGATTATTTGGCAGTAACTTCTTTTTGCACCATGATTTCACAGAGATCTTCTCTGTTATCTTCTCTTCAGCATATTCCTTTGAAGGTCTAGGGAGAAAATGTGGTGCTTGAGCATTCAGTGAAACCTGGTTTGCATCTCCATCTAGCTAAAGTCTAGGCTGTCCTGTGACAGAAAATGTGAAGGGGCCATAGTGCCCAAAATTCAGCAGAAATTTTACACAGTGTTGTCCAGGCAAAGGAATAATGAGAATATGGTCAATTGAGATTTCATAGGAAGCAAAAGAGGAAAGAAAATACAATTTTTTTTCAGGACTGAATGTTATTGCTTTGCCCAAAGGGACCTCTATGGCTGCCATCCACAGCTCATAATAGCAAATGTACTCTGTGCAGTGACACAGGCAAAGGGAACACAAGTGGCTGGAGCAGTGGTAGAAATAACACTGTGCTAATGAAAAGTTTCGTCCAGGCAAATTTAACTCCCTCAGAATTAGCCTGGGTATCTCTCCACGACACATTTGTTTTAGAGTCACAGCATGTTGCAATTTTTAGGCTCTGGCAGGCTTCTATGTAGGAACTATGCCCAAGAGCCTTTATTTCATCTGCTCCAATTGGGAAGAGCATGGCAATTTCTTTTGGTTGAGACTTTGCTATAACAAGCTGAGCTTTAGTCACTGTGAGATTGGCCCTCTGTAAAGCATTCACTTGGTGTTACAACCAGAGACAACTGAGCTCCAAAAGTGAGTGCAGGCTGTGTCTACTTATTAAGTAAAGGAGCATGTGGAGAGCCCATTACTCAGTAATTGGTGCTTGCTGCCAGTTAGCATTCACCAGGACTTCCAGGATTTGTATAGACCTTACAGCCCAGAATGGCCTGGGATTGTTCTTGCCTTATTTGCTTCCACTATAATCAGCTGGTGGCTCTCTGCTTTGCAGAGCTACCAAAACCAGCTTGATCAGACTGAAAGGCACCTGGAAGTACAGGATGTCCCCAGGGAATTCATCCAGAGGGACGTGCAGGTCTGAGAGACTTTTGTGACTAAGGTTGTGTTCCAGTTTTGTGAGCTTGCAGGTTTCTTCCCCTGCCATGGAAGACGAAAATGATGATTGGAACTTGTGGTGTTAAAAATGCCTGCCTGATTAAAACCTTAAATAGGTCTTTAAAGATGAGGCCCTAGTGTCATGTGACTCTTTAGGTGAGCCAAACTGCACTTTGGTATGGGGAGTCTCGAGAAACAGTGTGGTAAGTCTTTACAGAAAAGCCTATGTAGGCATTTGACAAAGACACAGCTCTGTGGGGTATATGGCACTTGCAGCTTTGCCGTGGGGAAACCTTTTGTTGGCCATGTCCCAACTGATGCTGCTGCTCCCGAGGAGGTGGTTTGGTGAGGTTTGGATAGGTGTCCACAGCCCCTGGCAGGGCTGGTGAGCTCAAGCAGCCCACTCTGCTACCCAGGAGCAGGTGGGCCCCGGAATGCAGGGGCAAGAAAGGGGCTCCTTCATATGCTTATTCCCTGCATATTGTATTTATTAATTTGTTGTGTTTATTTATCTATTTACAGCGCAGGCAGCATTAGCCCCAGAGGCTGGCAAGGCGGCTGAATGGATGCAGACGAGCTGCTCTCCCCAAGCGGGCGGGCTCTGCCAACACCTGTGAAGTGAAAACCCGTCTGCGCCGCAGGTGAGAAAGCAAATAACGCAGGGTGCTGCCGCGGGAGTACCGCGGGCTGCCGCAGCCACGTCCGCTGCCCCCGCCACGGCGGCCCGGGGCCGGGACCGAGCCCCCCGCGGCCCCGGGGCAGAGCCCCCCGGGGCAGAGCCCACCGCGGCCCCCGGGGCAGAGCCCACCGCGGCCTCGGGGCAGAGCCCACCGCGGCCCCCGGGGCAGAGCCCATCGCGGCCCCCAGGGCAGAGCCCCCCGGGGCAGAGCCCACCGCGGCCCCGGGGCGGCGGCCCCGCCTCACCGGCCCCGCGCGCCGTTCGCCGCAGCGTCCGCCAGGTGGCGCGCTTGCTCGCCGAGTGGTGCGAGGGCGGGCGGGCCCGAGAAACACATCGCGCTCACCCCCCCCGCCCGCCCTGCGATTTCGGAAGCATTATAACGAAAGTGTTTTCAACTTATTATTATGCATGAGTAAAAATTCCATGAATGTGTAACATTTTCGCCTGTATTTTCCTCTTTTATAACATCATTTAAATTCCTCATTAATAATTTAGCAACGTTCTGGATTTTAATCACTTTTCTCATCCCCGCGGGCTCTACCCGCGGCAGCGCTCTCCTCCCCACCTGAAGGTGACATGGAGGCAGGGCTGGAGCCAGGGACACCCGCCCCAGCGCCCTGTCCGCCTGCAGGGTGTTTCCTTGAGCAGCTGAAAATCCAAAGTTTACCAAACCTAACGCTTGAGTAGGTCACCATTAGGGAAAATTTAAATTTTTTTTATCTGAGTTTAATTATGGTGGTATTTGTTTGATAGCTTGTTACTGTAAATAAAAGAGATAAAAGGAGCCCTTCACTCGAGCAGCTTCAGAGTTGTGAAATATGTACCTAATTAAAACTATTGGTGTAAGAGGCTAATAAAGCACATGTGCCTACTAGATGTCTCATTCTAATGAATCTCGGCTAACTTACTCTGAGCAATGTATTTTTGTGTTGGTAGCAAGAGCTGAATAATTATGGAATTTATCACGAGGTGCTCGTGAAGAACCACAGGGGTCTGTGAGGGTGAGGGGAGGGAAGGACCCGCAGCCACGGTCGGGTGCAGGGGGAGCGGAGCTCAGGCTCCCCCCAGGGCGGTGTGGAGGCGCGGGCCGGGCCCCGCGGCTGCAGCTGTGCGGGCGGGGCAGCCGAGAGCGGCGGGGCGCGGGGGCGGAGCGCTGCCGCTGCCCCGGGCGCTGCTCCTCACCCCTGCTTTCCCCCTGGTTTTCGCCTGCCGCGCCTGGGAGCGGGCCGCAGCATGCGCTCCTCAGACTCCCAAACCCAGTGCAGATGGGTTGTCTAAAGCATTTCAGATGGAGTTTTGGTCTTGTGCCAGCAGCTAATCAAAGTCTTAATTCTGGAGAATAAAAAGGCCGGGCTTTGCAAGCTTCCTCCAGCTGGTTTCTGCCGGGGATGTGGACGGCCGGCGCTGCTGAAAGCCCTTTTGCTGTGGGTGCTGCCAGCGGTGGGGCTGGATGCGCGGCTGGCACGGCTCTCACTCACCCTGGGCAGCCAGGCCGCGCCTGAGGTCACTTACCTGGTCGGGCTGAAGGGGTCAGCTTTGTACAGGCCTGTGGACAGGCACCCTCAAATCCATCGCAGTCTGACCTAGAGTGAAGGCAGGCGCGGGAAAACGCGTGTGTCGGGAACCCCTGCCTGAGATACGAGCCTTGCCCTTTGGAGCAGTACAGGCTTGTCAGGAGAAAGGGTATGTACCGAGAGACGCTGGGCAATAATAAAGGGGCTGGTTAAGCAAGAAAAAGAGCCCTCAGACTAGCACATATTTGTATTGCTTTTTTTGCAACAGAGCAGTGAAAACATCCCAAGGCAAAATGTCTATTGTAGGCTTTCGTGTAGTCCCCAATAACAACTATTTAAACGCTTGCACGTGTGTGTGTGTCCTGCCGGCGTCCCCCGTTCAGCGGCAGCGCGGGCGGCCGCTGGGCTGCCGCTCTGGGCTCTCCATCCTAACCTGGCGCCCAGAAAATGTGCGGGGCCCCAGACCCGCCGTGCCTCATCCCCCGTGAGGCTGAGGGCTTTGTGTACCGCCGAGCCATCTGGGCTTTGCTGTCTGTCCCACAGTCAGATCTGATGAGTTCAAATGACTCTCTGCAAGTGTGTGGTAGCTGCAGCTGTTGAAAGCGCTCCGGCAGTTTCTGATCTGCACATGAATTTAGAGGTTTTTTACAAGTGCTGCATCGGCAGTTTTTCTGCAGAATGAAATTTTCACTATTGCTAGTATCAGCTGGAGAGACGGGTGGAACTTGTTATCTTCCTTGCAAAATCTACCTTTTCACAGGGAAGAGATCATTTTTCATGGTTGTACAATCTGTTAATGGGGTAGACTGAGAGTAAGATTGGGAAGAACTAGTCTGTTTCTGTCTGTCCCTGACTTATTGTTTGACCTTAGAAAAGTCTCTTGGTCATTCTGGAAACCTAGTTTCTCTATCTGTATAAAAACCCCAAACAATAGTAGCTATATCAAAAGAGACAGTCATCAATATCTAGACGTGGCTGTAAAATTTCAGGGGAAGGTGTTATGTATTGCCACACAAACAGTTTCTGTTCTGCTTTCTCAAAGACCTGTAAAAATCTGGTTTTTCCTGCTGAGAGAATTTTTTCCATGTTGCTCAATCAACGATCATTTTAATATATTTTTCTGCCTTTCAGATACATCTCAATATTTGTGTCTGTACAATTTTCATGGTCTTGTATCTTGTCTCTTTCTGTATAAAATGTATGTAGTCAGCTTAAGGGGAATGCTTTTTCTTTCAGTTTCTTTGTAATTACTAAAAATATTCTTAACCTGTTAAAATATTTCTGCGTTGTCGGTATGATGTGGTATGGTATTGAAACCTCATTACTTTGCAGCAAACCTTCCTGTACATTGTGTTTACCTTCTGGTAACATTTCTAATAAGAAATCACCAACAGAATGAAGGGGATACTTGCACTGTTGGGTCCAGTGTGACTTTGCATATGAAAATATGCAAAAATAAATTACACTCTCATGTAGCTAAGAGAGAAATATAATCAAATTGTTTCTGCTGGCTTTTCTTCAAGGCAGAAAACCTGTGTGTGTTTTCTAGACAAGTGTTATTTGTACTATGTTCTGGGACCTGGCAGAAGGGATTCCTGTGGCCTGTGTGAAGTTATTTTGATTTCAGCATGACTCCACTAAGAGACCCCAGCACAGAGGACCACCCCCTTTTAGAGGGCAGTGAGCTTGGGTCCTCACAAGGCCTAGATTTGAGGCACTCTGAACCAAAGTTATGGATAGAACCAGAGCAATAAGAACCAAAGTCTGTTACTCTAACAAAGACAGAGGCTGCAAGTAAACTTTCCACCAGAAGTAGGTTTCCTAGATGTTAATAGCAGATGGCCCTCCCATCCCATCCCACAGGCTGGGGATGTCCTGACAATCCATTCCTAGTCTAACTTGTTCTCACATCACAGAACTTCTAATTTTTTCCATTTAGTAAGTATGATTTGATAAGCTAAGATAAACATGATTTTAAATTAATTTTAGGCATAAATTACTAATTCTGTTGTTCACATTCTCAGAGATGATTAATATAATTTTGTTTTTCCTTTGACACCTAAGCAAAAATCTGACATTGATTTCATTCTTCTTGTGGTAGAGAGAGGAGTGTAACCATAACCAGAGGTGACCAGTACTAGCCCTATCTGAATGTGCCTTGCAATCTCTGATTGTATGATGAATTGATGTTCAGCAGCATTTTGGTTTTCCATGCTGTACCCATAGCCATTGCCTTTATTTTGCTTTTTCCTGGCTTTATCTTGATTTTCTCTGTGAAGCCAAAGACCTGACATTGGTAGTCATGTTTTTAAGATTATCTGCTCAGGAACATCATCTCAGAGAAGTCTATTTTCACTATTTTGCACATCTGAAAGAACAGTTTGGGACTGAATGAGTTGTTGCCTGGACAAGTGTGTGAAGAGAATTGATTTAGACTAGTACTGCAGAAGGGAGCTGTTTGTGAATGGACTCAGATGCATGGAGGTCTGAGAATGATAAATGCAAGGCTTCATCCCTCTGGGTCAGTGGTCTTTGGGACAAGACAGAGAGGAGACAGAAGTTGAGGAGACACTGCTGTCTTGGAGTCTGTATTTCAGGTCACAGTCTTGGCAGGTCAACTAAAGTCACACAATGTGAATGGTGCCAAAGCAGACTTGGCTGTGCATGAATATTTATCCTCTGTCTTTTTATTATAAACTTCGTTTTGCATTCTGACAGAGTTGTCATTACACACCTTTTTTTTAAGATCTACAAGGAAAAAACCCCAAATGTGCTTTGTTTTGTATTGCCTTAGGCAATGAGCCAAAATGTAGGTCTGAGGAAACCTTTGTGTCACCCTCTTCTTGGAACTTTCCTCCAGATCTTCTGTGTTGTACTGGACCCAGCCCTTTCCAGCTGAGCTGTGGTGACCCTAAACACTGTCCTGAGATATGTTTTGGGGCTGCTGTCTGGGCTCTGGTGCTACTTGCAGCTGCTCTTGAATATCTTCAACTGATCATCAGCTGGTATGTCTCATAGCCTTGTTTTAGATCCTGGTGCTGACTGGTGGCCCAGAGTGCCTTTCCCCATTCCCTTGAGCTTATAGATAGTTCTTTGGCAAGTATCCAAACCTAATGCACTATAGAGGGAAAGGTTTTCAGGTTTCCGTGTACACACATGTGGTCAAAGCCCCAGCTCATTAAATTAGTATGTGCAGTGGAGACCAGCTACTGATTTATGTTTTCATCTACACAAGGTAAATTGGATTGAAACTTCACACTGTTTAGAAAGGAGAGCTGAGATTCTTGCTTACCTTTGAGCTCTAAATTAGCAGGCACGTGACTAAGCCTCATGGACCTGAAGAAGCTGGTTCTGAGTTAATATGATGCCCATACTGTTGATTTCACTGGAGCCTTTTGTATCAGAAACCACATGTACACAGCCTCACATTGTGAAGCAAGATTAATTTAGCTGTTGGCAAATTATGTGCTGTATAAGAATGTTCTGTGAACAACTGGTATTGCAAATTCTACTGCTTAATTTTTGCAATGCAAAGTACCAGTAACAGGAACTACTGGTTTCAGCTGAATTTTACAGAAATGTGAAGGACAGGCAGCCAAAATAAGGAGATAAATAGTGGAAAACTAAACAACAGGAGGCCTACTGAGTCAGATATTAAGGGGCTCAATATAAATTATAACATGGAAGATGAAGTTAATGGCAAAAGTTTTAGAGCTTCAGACCTCCTAAAAATACAGAAGGGGTGGCCTCTCAAAAACACATGTATTTGTGATTCTCAGCTATAATTATAGGGAACAACACAGGGGTGGCTACTGAGGATATTTCCATGCTTCAGTTTAATATGTTATTTTAATGTGTCTAAAATATCTCGAATTTTAGAGCTAAAATTCTTATTCTCTCTTTGATTTGTTGTAGGAATAGCTGAAGTGAAACAAACTTCCCATGATCCACCTACCTTGAAGAACAGAATCACTCTGGTAGGAGTAAATTATTGGTATGAAAACTTAGTTTTTTGTGTGCTTCCTAACTCTACCAATTCACTTGATGCAATTCTTCCTTACTCATATCAGTGAGATGTAGAAAGATGATATTTTTGTGCTCTCTGTATTACTGATGATAACTTTTTCCTTGAGTTTTATTCAACCTTAAGATTATATTGGTTCCAGTCTTCATGTTTATGTGTTCACCTAGTCCAAACAAATATCTTCACCAGTGCTTTTAGACACCCTTTACTAGCTGAAAACCACACCACATTTTGCTGCTTGCTCCGGTCCCTCCTTGTATCTCTGCCATCAGAAGAGGCCAAGCAAGCATTCCCTAATGCACTACAAGTAAAGCCGGCCTGGTTAGCTCATATCCATGTTCATCACCAGCTGAAATGACTCTGGCTGCCTTAGCTTAAGCAGATTAGGTGATTTGTGATCCCTTTTGCTAATGGAGCAGTATGCTGGGTTCTTGGAAGACAGCAATAAGCGCTGGAAACAGTGCCAGTGCTGTCATCTCTGAGAGGAGCTTTCCTGTAGTCTCAGATTTTCACAGCACTCCCATCCTTGAAGCCAATCTTGCACCCCTCGACTTCCATGTACAGATGTTGCCTTTATTTTTACTTTAGCTGCCAGAAGTAAAGATATATTTTGACATTTTAAATGAGTCTTCTCTGTTCAGCTTGCTCTGCCTGTCTTTATTAATTAAACTTGGGTCTTCATATTAGGCTCCTTCAGTTCATCTCCCCCAGTTTCAGCTCTTACTTTCCATTTGCCTTCATTATACTTTGCCATTACTGCACTGAACTCTTCCTCATTTCACATCTTCCCATACAATATTCAGATCTGCTATTCCTCTGTCTAATTTTACCATGGCTGATGTGAAAATCATCTTTGCTAGAGAAGCAGAAGTGAGGAGACAAACCTTTCTTCTCTTTGCCACATTTGTTCTCACTCTTACGTAAAATCCTGGCTGAAAAAAGGGGCATTCTCTTCTGTGATCATAACTTCACATTCCTCTTTTTCCTGCTACTCTTCAATTTGGAAAACATTTTAATAGATTCTCATCCATGAAAACTATACTGTTTATGTTTGCAATTTTTCAATGTGCTTGGAGTTGGTGTTTTCAGATGAACGGTGTATTAAGATTTAATCTGAGCCTAGTCAGATAATATTGACCTGCAATGAAAAAGCTGTATGAATGAGATAGCAGCAGACAGCTAGAAGTGCTGAATGCCAATTGCTGACTGAAAAATGATACCCAGAATTTGGTGGTGGAGAGTAGATGGGACATTTATGAATGGAAAAGCTTTCTGATTGCTTAAATATTGGGATTTGTTTTTAAAAGTTTCTCTGTTTTTTCCAACGTTTGCCAAAATTTGCCTGTGCCTGTAAGGTGGTACAGCTGCAAGCTTTCAGGAGGTGCTTATCCCTCTGCAGCAGGCTACCACATCCTGATAGCAACTCAAAGGCCTCTCTGTTTTGCCACAATAGACTTCCCCAAAATTAAAACAAAGAACTGAATCTAAAACTATGGATTCCTGATGCATCTCCGTGTGCCCATTTCAGCTATATTTCCCACTGTTCACTGTTAGCAGTCATCAGGAAACATGGATATTGGTTCCAAAATCAGAATCTCCTGAAATAAATCCCTAGGTGTTACGGTATTGCCACATTGTATTAGGGACACAAACAATGGGTTAGTCCTTGCCCAAAGAAGCTTTTAATCCAGGTCATGTATATGGAAGAGGGGCAAGGGAAGGTGATTCTGCATATATCTGAGTTGCCTGGGTTAAATGTGGTGAATTATTGTAGCAAATACATTCTAAACATTCCCCTTCAGTTTTTCACAAATTCCAAATGTGGATGCTGCTCTAAATTAAAATAAACAATTAAAATGCCTTTCTGAATGCATTTGCAATGAAATAAGTTACTGTAATTTCCCTGGGCAAGCCAGCTCTTTGGAGGGGGCAAAAGTTGCAAATGGAAAAACAAACAAACGAGTGAGTAACTGGGATGTGCTGCCAGAGAATCAGAAACAAGTCTGGTAAAAGGGGGAGGGAAAGGCTCTTGTCTGCCCTGGGACAATTTGTAGAAACCAAAATGTGGGAGAGAGTTGAAATGAAAAGGAGAAAAAAAATTCCACTGCCTCTTTTTTTTTTCTTTTTTTTTTTTTTTTAAACAGTGAGTGAGAAAAGCCTGACTGCTGGCTGCCTTTCTTGCCTTCCAAATCTTAGAGCAGTGAGAAATGGAGACATGGTTTGGGTCAGCATCCAGGTACAGAGCACGCTTCACCTGCCATGAACTGGGGATGGGGAAGCAAAGGGAAGAGTGCTGCTCTCAGAAGGCTTCCTGGTAGGGAGAATCCTCAGTAGCAGAGCTGCTCCGAGCTGCTGGGGCATGCAGAGGAGCTGCAGATGGGGCCGAGAGTCCAGCTTGATACTTCTCTGGTCAGCCACCAGTTACAGCATTATCAAATGCTCACTAGAGGTGGGTACCAAGGTGCTACAAGGGCTGAAGGCAAATCAGGGGGTCTGCTTTTAATGAAAAGATAGTTTTACACACAGCATCTTTCTTACTATAATGACAAAATGGGTATGAAACAGTTACACTCCAGACCCTTACTTTTTTTTTAGTGCTATTTATTTTTTTCACAACATTTAAAACAAAACAAGCAAAAAAGGAAGGGAACAAAAAACGAAAAAGAAAACTCCCTTCAGACAACAATCACCTTTTGAGTTAAATTCTCATGCTTGGTCTTAGCCCAGAGGGATTTGTCTTGAGTGAAGTTCGAAGAAAATCCTTTCAGCAGTTTCTGAGTTACTTAAATGTAACCATGGAAGTTTGGATTCAGATGCTTTTTTTTTTTACTTATATAACTCAAAAATAGCTTTGCTTTAAAACTTTTAAATTAACCCTCCTTAACTTTTCAACTTGTCACCTATCCTACTGTATGGCTTATAAAATTTTAAAGCTAATAGTATAACAAACTCAAATAATGATACTGCAGATGTTCAAATGAATCTTGGGAGAAATAAATTATAGGAGGTACAGTGGGTTGTTACTGAAGAAAGAGCGGCTGCATGCCTTAAACCATGTGTTCTTTCTGGTCTGAAAAAGGCTCAGTTTTTTTCTACTATTAAGAAGCATAAGTGTTCTGGGTGTGGATTTTAATACTTCGCTACACATATAAAATTAAGCATGTAAGTCCTGTTCCTTTTTTTCCTCCTGATAGCCCAATGTCAAAATATTTTCTTAAATTTTCCTGCTCTCTTTTTAACACAATCCCAATCAACAGGACACTTAAAGTCTCCTAAATATTTATGGAGTTCAAAGTCACTGCAATGCTCTGCGATGCTCTTACTATTATTATTTTATTGCCAGCAGATTGAGGCAATGAGAGGTGAAGTGTCTTGGTAAGTAACGTTTTTTTTCCATTTTCTTTGTCCAATCTTCCTGTTGCTCTCTGATGTTTCTTCCTGTTTGTCTTCTTTCCAACATTTCTGCCTCACTTACTAGTCCCTTTCTCACTGTCTCCTATCTATCTTTCAACCATCTTTCTCCATTTATTCTTCTCCAACAATTGCACTGAAAAGAGACCACGGTAGAAATTATTTTTACTTTGGCAGCCACTTTTTATTTTTATCTTTTCCCTGAATATCTGGGATGGGTCCAGGCAGCTCTCCCCACTTTCATCATCTCTCTTCACATCCCTTGTGACCCTGAGCTCTAGTCAGCAATCTGATGTCTGCCATGAGAGCACCTCCCATTATCCAAAGCCACAATCAGACTAAGGTGTTGTAACACTGTGTGTTGCTTTACTTACCACACTTGCTCTGCCGCTTTCTAGGAACTGCACACCTGTGCCAGGTTTTTCTCACAGAATAATAATGACAGCACTGTCGCCTTTTGCACGTCTCTCCTCCTTGCTCCTGTGCCCATCTTCCTCTCCTGAGCTTTGTGGTTTGGTCTCCTGGTGCAGTGCAGCCAGGATATGGGAGACTTGTATTTAGGCTGTGCCTGAGGCAGTTTGAACTTGAATCTCTTGCCCCTTGAATTTGCACCCTGCCCAAGAGATTATCAACTCTTCTGTGAGGAGCGTGACCTGAGCCCTTTAAGTGGGAAAGCTTGAGCTTGACTTTTCAGTCTTGAAGTGGAGACACTCACCTGCCTGGGGAAACCACGTCTGCCAGGGCCTGCCCCAGTCAATATTTAAATGCAAGTATGGAGGTATTCCCTGGAAGACAGTAGCAAACCCCAGGTTTCTTGCTGTCAGTAGTGCTTTGAGAACAACCACACAGAACAATCAATTTAATCCATTTAATTATTCCATATGAGCTGGAACAGCTCCAACAGGATGGACTGGAGAAAGACTCTGCTCAACAAGATCCTTTTGGAGCTGTGCTGAGCTCACTTGGCTGCCATGGGTCAGTTCCCTCATACCCCAGAGCAGCCATGGAGCTGCCTCAGCACCACTGATTTGACATAGTGAGGACGTGTGGAGACTGGAGGGGAGGGAAGTGTGCTCCTCCACTCTGTTATCCACGGTGGCAGGTTTGTAGCTGTAGCTGAAACACACACCTGCCAGTGCTGCCTCAGTTACTGCTCTGGACAGGCATGGCAGCAAATATGTGGTGGAGGGAAAAGAATTCTATTAAAAGACAGGGCAGCACACTGGAGCATTACAAGACAAATTGCTTTTAAAGGTGGAAATACAATAAAAATAGACTAAAGAGTCTTAAAATACAAAATCAATGCCAAAACAGAGAAAGCCAGAATGACTTCCAGAACTCAGCTATAGGCAGTTGTCCCCCAGTATAAGCCAGATACTGTCAGTGTGTGGGAGACATCCAGGAATTTTCTTTCCTACAAAAATATTAGGAACATTATATGTTTTAACTGTAATGGAAAACTAGAGCTCTAGTGCTCAGTTCCAAAGAAGAACTCTAACCATTAGAAGTGATGTGGTACAGGGTGTGTGTGTGTGTGTGTGTGTGGCTGCTCCTTTTCTCCTCGAGATTCTATAGCTTCCTTCATTCTTCGCTTCTCTCATATTACAGAAAGAAGGTAATTTTTCCTGGCCATTTACTAAAGCTCATTAAAGACTGAAGAGAACAAACAATGCTATTCCTTAGAGACTACCATTCAAAGTCATTCTACAATTCTCTGTTCTAATACTTGAGACAAATTAATTATTCCTTAGTGAAAAGTGTATAATTCCTATTCTTCATTTTTGGGGTGGGGAGTGGGGAATAATAATAGGAAGTTTATATCTGAGTCAAAAGCTGTCTGAGCTGAAGGGAAATGAGAAAAAATGTGTGTTCCAAGAAGAGTAAAAGCAATTACTCTAATAATAATTCTAGGGATATTAATGTCTTTTTAAAGTAAATTGCTTTCAAATAAACACCAAAGTTGAAGGCATAGGAAAGGCTGGTTTATTTATTAATCATTCCAAACGTGCATTTTTCTAAATGAACAAGTGCATGAGCAACTTCGCTGGCACATATTAAATTTAGTTAAACGGCAACTTGTAAATATCTAAAAACTTCTGTAACCAGAGACTAATTTGTTTAACGTGTTGAAAATGTTCTGTGGATGTGAGGAGCTACATATTAAACTTCAAAGCAAAATGCTCCAGAGATTACACCATCTTAAAGACTGCATATTGGAAAGGCCTTTATACATTAAACATAAAGGACTTTTAATTCTCTTCTATTTTGAATACTTGTCAATCTGTGTGACTCACGCTTAAGATTGTAAACTATCATTTTAAGGTGTAAGGTCCAAGTTGAGACCTGGACCATGATTTGCAAGGGGCTGGCTTTTCTCTTTCATCTCTATTAATTAATCCTGTTTCAGTTTGCCCAGCGTACACTTCTGTTGACATCACCTTTTCCATATACTTTAAAGAGTCCCCAGAGAGATCTACTGCAGAACAAAAACTGGACAGAGAATACATTTGGAAACCATTTTATTTCTCAATTACCAACCAAAACGTATGGAAAAGATTTACACTCTATCTGATTTACACAATAATTATACTTTGAAAGCTTAGAAATAAATGGCTTGATCCCTGAAATCATTAGTTACTATACCAAATGTAATTGGTGTAAACTAATGAGTTTACTGGATGGCTGACCCTTAATTACTGATTATAGTTAAACTCTAGCCAATCAAAATTTCGTTTACTTATAAAAGTACAGTGTACTATTAACAAGCATTACATTTCCAAGCAAGCAGCTTTATGATTAGTTGTAGCACACAACTCAAGCCTGTTCAGGGCTATCAAAAGCAGCTTTTTAATAACAGTGCACTAAGCAACCATCATTCTCTTACCTCAGCTTCTATCAGACAACAGAAAGAAACCACATAATTAATCATCTCATGCAATAGAAATAAAGCATCTGGGCCATATCCAGGTGGGATATACCCAGCCTTTTTAGTTCAAAGAGCTGCAAGAGGCTGGGGATCTGCCTTAGGATAGGATAACTGACATGGGGAATTCTGGCTCTCTTGGGGGAGCAGTATGGAGTATGGAAATGAAATACTGATTGATTGAGTGCAGTCCCATGTGATGTGGAGAAACCTATCAACAAAATAGATTTAATAATTCCTTAAATTGCAGAAGATTTCTTGGGCAGATTCAGTATGTCGTGATGGGACATATGATTCCTGTACTGGCAATCCCAAAAATCTAGAAGTCATGATTCCTCACTATTTATTAGTTCAAATGGAGAATGTTTTGGTTTTTTTTTTTTTTTTTAATAAAATGCTAAATGGGAACAAATTATTTTTATTTGTCTCTGCTTGATCTTTAAGAACTAATGTTTTGCCTAACCAGGAAGACTCAAAATTCCTAGTAAAAAAGTTGAAAGCAGATTTCTATATAGACCACGATTCCAGAGTTGGAACTTAAAAGAGGTACACTAAATATTTTAATAAAATCATGAGCCTTTACAATGCGTACAGTCACATCCTTAAAGATACTTAGGTAAATGACTCCAGTGATTTAAAGATGTGGAAATTCTCCATCTCCTAGATCATTCCTGTGAATCCTAAACTTCAGATAGGAGATGGATACCAGAAGTCACAAGCAGAATATCAGGTGCTATGGAGGTTTTAGTTGGAAGAATATGTATTTGCTGGAGCTCTGCACTCTGTGCTCTGCAGATGACCCAACAGATCTCACAGCTGCAAGGGTTAATTCTGTCATGATTGCAGGTCTCTCCTATTTCTGTTTTTCTCTATGAACCTTACCTGCTGGCCCTTTGGAACAAGTACTGTAACGCTTGCCCACTTGTTAGTATAAACATTTTCTTAAAACTCAGAAATTTAAGAATGAAGTAGTTCTCAGAATATCTGCACATGGGTTAAAGTGAAATTTTTTATTTACTGAATTCCTGTTTGTGAGATGTGTCTGGGGTCAAGAAAAGGTTAAAGTTGTTTACTGCCTTCAAGCTCTGGTCTTAGAAGTTAATTCAGAACTGTGCTTTGAGCAGCTACAGAGAGTAGTAAGTCCTTGCAGCAGTGAATTGCTGGTTTGATGTCAAGGTCCATGGGCCTTAATCATAAAATTAGTTTGTTTCTTAAGGAAACCCTAGCAGGGACTTTATGGTTATATAAGTCATTATACTTTTTTACAACACAGCTTTAAAGATGCTTCAGAATGATCAGAGTTTGTAGGAAGGGATCATGGTTTTTATTATTTGTGGAGTATCCTCAAGCTGTCATAGCTACAGCACTGCCACTTGGAATAGCTGCTTCACAGTTCAAAAGAAAAGACAAAGGATTTGTTGAAGCCTAAGTCAGGCAATTAGGGCATATCTGTCCAGAGAAAGCTCATTGAATTGAATGGATTCCATGTACTTCCTGACAACTGACTCCAGTTTTGTAGGATCTGTATATTTGGGGCAATCAAGGTGTTTTATTACAATTCCACAAGAGCAGATAGAGGGCCTATGAAGCTCTACAAGCTCTGCTTTTCACAGTTCTCTGATGGAGAATTTAGGGGTGATTTTGAAAATCATGGAAAAGGAGGAAGGCATATTTTCCAAAACCTTGAGAAAAGACAAAGGAAACACTAGACTACACAAAAACTTTGCTGTCCACCCTCTGCACAGCAGTGCTGGTAAGAACAATGCTGCTATTTCTGAATTGCTAACACTAAGACAACAGCCTCCAATGCAGAAGGGAGACAAGAACCATTGTTTTAGGAGGAGGGGAGCACACTAGAGACAGGTTCACTCTCCCCAGCCTGCCATCCCTGCGGCACAGAGGAAAGGGGGAGCTTCTGGAATGACTGGTGGAACAAGCACCAAAGGGCCCCACTTCCCTCCTTTTCTGTAAAGCCTGTATAACTCTTTCTGTGAAAGAAAGCATCAAGCCCCATCTTGTTCATGGAAATACAACATATTTGAAAGCCGTAGTTAATGGATAAACTGTTTTCTGATTGGATGAGCCACACAATAAATCTCTTCCCAAGCCAAGTGCAATGCAGCTTATTCAGTTACAGTGAAATGAGCCACTGTCACTTTGCTGCACTTGCATACACCAGGCAAAATTCTTCCATCTTCATCAGTCTCTTAGTGAAATAGAAATAAAACAATTTTAACAGAATGGTGTCACTGGATCTGTGGCACCTGCTTTAAAAATAAATCTCTTAGCTTTGTCTTCACCATTACTTTCAATAAATGTCCTAGCATTGCCACAGCATTTATCTAGCAGCAGGAAACCATTATCCTATGACAACAATCTATTCCATTAACATTAGCTCTTAATTGTAAGATTGTTTATAAGACAGGAAAAGCTACTGAATCATAGTAGAATGATAAAAAGAGTTATGGTCATGGAGTATAGTAGTCCCTCCAGTTATGAAAAATAACCTAGGAGTAGAAAGCTATATTTTTATATGAAAAATAATGTAATATTCTTATGCAATTTAATGTTTTTAAATAATGGATTACATCAGGAAGGTAGCTATTAAAGAGTTAATGTTAAAAACTGTTAATAAGAAACTCTTTCTTTGATAATGGTATGGCTGTAAAACTAAATAAAAGCCTAGAAACTCTCCTTCTTCATTTTATCAATGCTGCACCAAGCCAGAGAAATCATAATAACAGAAGCACATTTGTCTGGTGGAGTGAACAGAAGAAATGTTGCAGAATTGAGATATGAAGAACCTCACTGCAGAATAGAAGGAGAACTGTCATTCTGATTCTTTGTCATTATTGTTTCATGTCCAGTTAAGTGAACTTAAAGTGACAGTTGTGTCATAACTGCGGGCATCTATGTAAATTTCAAATCAAATACGATAGAGGCATTTCTGCCAGACAGAAGTCACCAGGCTGCTCTTCCTCTTCATTTTTGTAACCCTCCATTTTCTCATGCCATTGCTGGTAGCCCTTAAATTAAAAAGACAACTTCAAGAGGGGATCTCTGTGATCCGTGTGTTTCAGTGCTCAGCCTGTACCTTGCTTTCTTTCAGCTTTTTGAAACAATGCCCAGTGTCAAATTTCCACCAGAAGCAGTCACCACAAACATCTAGATGGATTAGCTAAACCTGTGCCTTCCCATTAATGATGTATCACACAAGAAGACCCTGTGAAGTTTTAGGTTGAGAACGTCCCCTGAAGACCTACAGAGAAAACAGCTCAAGCAAATGTTCCTGCATTGGTTTACTGCAGCCCAAGCCAGACGTCTTCTCTGTGAATAGAGCAAAATAGGCAGAAAACATTGGTCATGGACTTTTCTGTACAGTACAGCATTGTTCAGAGATCATGGGAACTTCATAAAGATATCAGACATACTTCTCCATTGCAATGAGCTACATGTAAATAATTAATTTCCTGGAAACACTCAGATATTCTAATTACACAGGATTTGCTACTGGACACACATCTTTGAAAATAATTTCAGTGCAATTATAAAGGTATTTTGTGTGAATAACACCATGAAAAAATACTAAACATGCTATTTATTCACTCAGGGAAAATATACTATTTATTTTTTTCTGCATATTTAAAGTTACTTGGCTAATTAATTAGATAATAAAAGCTAGAGTTAAGTTTTCATTTTTCATTGCAACACATTGCATAAATGATACTGTTATAAATGTGTACCTCTGCATTAGGTAAGCGCATTTTGGTCAGCTGATTGAGTCAGATTTTTATTTTAATTCCTTTCCAGTTGATCTTTTTTGTAGTGTAAATTTAAAGTAGCATGGTGACTACTTTTACCTGTAATTTGGGCCTTCCAAACAGCACCAAATTGTGCTGTCCCGCCCTTCCATTTGTTACAGTGACTAGTGAAAAGAAGCAACATATTAATGCCAGTCCTATAAAAGTATCTGTGAAGAAAACAGTTTTTTACCACAAAGGGTAAGTTCTATATGAGTTTATATTAGGTATTTGTCAAAGGACTTTTTTTTCCCTGTTAAAGATGGAGTCATATGAATCATAAAAATATTAATATTTGAGACAAAATATCACTACAGGTATGTCACCACAAAAATCAATTGTCAGTATATGTTTAAGAGTAGCAAATCAATGTTAACTGATTTGCCTAAAAATGCCTATAGACTGTGGAATGTAAAGCCCTCCTTCAAAATTCACATAGCATGTCCAGTTTTTTTAAATGAACTTGTTATTACATACACATATTCTAGAGGCCTTTCAAGAGTTTCAATTTTAAACAAAAATTATATGTAAATGCAAAGTCTGATATCTTGCCTGTAGTCACAGAACCCACTTACAGGACTTGCTGCTACTGCTGGTTTGTGGTAATGCATCAATTTCGCATGAGCTCAGGACAAATTGGTGAACATAATTTCAGCCACATGATGTCATTACAAATACAGCCTTAGCTCTTTCAAAAGTGGACTTTATTGTTAATATAAATATATATATGTAATTACTGACATTTATATTATTTGGCTCCTGTCCTAAGTTATAGATACAGTGATGATAAAAGGGTCTTGCCAGCCCTTACCTAAGAAAACTGTGTTTACTAATTACCTCCCATGGTTCTGGGTTCCTGTAAATAAAGTCACGCATGTATTTATAAGCAAGTTAAAATCTATACACATATTTCTAAACATAACTTATCTTACTCTTTTGGGCAAACAGTACTGTCTACTGCTCAGAAAAGAATGCTAAGAGTGAATTCATCCAGGATTCTTCCCAGCTTCTGCCAGGATGTGACTCTGCCGTATCACTGGCTATCCAACTTAAATACTTAATCCAGTCACATTTTTAAATTGATTGAGGCCTGAACCAGAAGATGCTATGTGAGTAAAAGGATGCATTACTTTAAAATAAGGAATGGCTGTTGATTTTTCATTGCTGTTTCTGGACAGACTGGGGTCAGAGGGTTTGTTTTAGAAGTTTGTTTGTTCAAAAGGTGTAGTTGCAAGACACATGGATTAGCAAAGTGCCGCATGGAAGATCTCAGAGCAGCGGCAGCCTCAACATTTCTCCCTAATGAGGAAAGGAAAAGGAAGTCCCTTAGGTATGCACTACTCAGGGAGAGAACCTAGAGGTCCCATAAGAATGCAGTATTTAGGGAGAGAACCAAGACTCTTTTCCTGAATGGAGAGATAACTCTGATGAATTCTGGACTACCTGGTATCTTAGGGGAACATCTAGGTTTAAGAATTATTTCGATTCCAGGCTGTAACATTTTCCAGACATTCAGATTGCAACTACTAAGCCAGCAATTTTATGCTTTCCCTTCCCTGACTCCAACAGTACTGCAATATAAGCAGCCAGATTTTCTTCTGCATTGTGTTTTTTATCCATTCAGCCAAAATTAACAGTCTTCTAGGATAATGTATGCCAAGTGAATTTAAATCTTGTGGACTCAAATCGACCTAAAGTTGATGGATACATTCATGCCTACTGCTGAAATCTACCAATTACACAGAACTATGTTAACTTACCATAGAAACATCTCATCTAATAGCACAGATGATGTTGAACTAACTAATTACATTATGGCACATAGACAATGAAAAACATAACGAAGATGACAGCACAGCAACAGCAGATGCTGCACAAAAGAAAAATTAGAAAAATATTGCTCTGCAAAATGCTCTCAGTTAAGGTTTCCTCTGTTAAAATTAATCACAAAAATTAGTGATGATCAGATTTCAGAAAAATATATGAACATTGTAATGCAATTTGGAAGACATCATTAAGCCATTTAAAACTCTGCTCCTTGAGAAGGTAATTCCTGTTTTTTGTATCACTCTCATTTTTAAGACTAGTAAACATTTTAGTGCCTGTGGCAGAGTTTCTTGGTAGAATATCTTTTCCAATGAGGAGAGGTCCTAATGGCTCTCCCAGAGTCTGAATTTGGTAGCTTCCAGCCATTACAGGCTTAGATAATTAGACAGCGTAGATTTTATTTGAGCTTGGCATTTGCTCTGTTCTTGTGCTCTTAACTGTCAGAGAGCTAAAGTATCAGTGATTGTTGATTATCTGTAGCATGCCTTATTGCTTTATATATTTTAAATTGTACCAGATCCTACATAACAAATCTAAAACTGCTGAGTACGTTTAAATGTAATATGTACATGGAGATTACATCCAGATGATATATTTCATAGACCTATGCTAAAAAAAAATTAACCATAACACTGGTCCTCTCCCCTTTCTCTGTGGAAGCTTTCCATGAGTTCCCCAAGTCTGCTTTAAGCAGACTCTCAACATATCCCAGTCTATGGACAAACATATAAATAGAATTTTCTCCCGTGTTTAAATCATACCTGTGGTGCCATTCAAATGTCGATATTTTATTTCCTATATATTAAGAATCAAAATATATCTTCGCTATCCTACGCTTTCCCAAGTACAATTCTCCCAGGTAGACGATTTTCCTTTCAGTTCTGACTGACGGCTGGCGCCCGGCTCCGCGCCCAGCGCAGGCCGGGGCTGCAGGGCTGCGGGGGCCCCCCAGGTGGCGATGTGGCTAAAGCGCGCCCGGGCTGCGCCTGCCGGGCCGGGCTCAGCGCCGGCTGTCCCCGGGCGGGCGGGCAGCGCTCCTGCCGGGCGCTCGCTGCTCACGGGGTGCTCCCGGGAAGAGTTCGCTGTACCTGTGCGGGGCACCGCGTCTACGGTAGCCGCTGGCAGGGGCACGTTTAATTTTGTTGTCTCGGACATCGGGGGGGCTCATGGACCCGTAGCTCGGTCACGCTGCCATCACCACGTACTCGACGAGGCAGCGAACGTGCCCGCGGGCGGCAGGGCCGCCCTGCCCTGCCCGCGGCTCTCGTCGAGCGGGGCCCGAGCGCTGCTGCCGTCCAGCGAGCGCTGCATTGGCTGCTGCTTACGTCAGCTACGAAGTTTCTCTGTCCTTCAGCAGATGCCGGCAGTGTGCCACTGAGGGGCTCCGCCGCCGCGAACGGAGCGCGGCCGTGTGCGCGGGGTGACAGCGGGGTGCGAGTCCCCTGTGCCCGGCACGGAGCTGCGCCGCGGCAGCGCCCGCATTTCGGAGCACTTTGTTATTCCGGGGTGTGCTCCAGCGATTCACGGCTCTGCTTATCCTGTGTGCTGCACTTAGGCCTCACAGGTATGCAGTTAATACGTAGTGGGTTTTTCACAGTTTTAAGTGTCTCCACTGAACATTACTTCTTCGGATTTGCCGTCATCCCCGGCAAATCTGAGGGCATTTGAGGGCTTCTCCCTGAGAACTGCAACTGTCTGCCCTGCTGACGAGCGGGGCCGCCGACTGCGAATGCGGCTGCTTAACCCACTGAAACCTCCGCTGGGGCGGCCACCGCGGGCCGTGCCCGCCCGAGTCCCGCAGCGCAGCTCCCGCAGGATGTGTGACACTCGGCGGCTCGACGCGGCCCCTCTGCTCGCAGGGCCAGCCGGGCACGGCTCGTCGCCGCCTCTCCCGCTCCAGCGCGGGATCCCAGCACAGGGTGCGGGCACCGGGGCCGGACGCGGCAGCGGGGGGCGCCACGAAGGCGGCAACCAGCGGCTGCTGCGGCCGCGCCTCCCCTCGGCGCCTCCACCAGCCCGGCAGGCCGGGAAAGGCTCCGACGGACATCGCTCCCCGGGCGGAGCGGGCCTGCCCTCGGGGACAGCCGGGGTGACCCCTGCCGCCAAGTTTCTCAACTGGCGGCCGGGAGCTGGCGGGCGGGGCGAGGCGGGATGGACGCTGCCCTCACGGCCGCACGCCTCCCCTCAGCGCTGGGCGGACGGCGCGGCCAGGGCTGCCCACCTGACTCCCTCCTTCCTCTCCATTCCCCTCCTCCTCCTCGCCCCCTCCCTTCCTCTCTCTTTTTTTTTTTTTTTTTTTTTTTTTTTTTTTTTTTTTCTCCCTCCCCTCTCACTCATTCCTTTGTCTTCCCGGGGATTGGCAGGTTTTATTATTCCGCCTGAACAAGCCGGGGGCGGATTGGCTGCGGCGGGCTGACGAGGGCGCCGAGCCGGAGTGTAGTTGGGATTCTGCTCTGTCAGTAACACATGTGTGAGGGCAGCGGGCACACGCGCACCGTGCGGGCACACACGCACTTGCAGCCTCACGCTTAGACGGGCACAAGGGCCGCCCCCCGCGCCCCGCCAGCGCCGCCGCCGCAGGATCCCGGCAGCAGCTCCGCGCCCGGCCCCGCTCAAACTCGCTGGCTCCCGCCCGCTCCGCCGAGGCGCTCCGGCGGGCCGCGGCCGGCCGGCTCCGCGCCGCGGGAGGCTCGGGAGCCGCCGCAGCCCGGAGAGGGGGCGGAGGTGGGGGAGCGGGGGGGAAGCGGCACAAAGTGAAGCCACATTGCCAAACTTGCCCGGCGATTGCAGCATCGAGCGGCGGCGGCGCCCTGCGTGTGCGGCTCAGCGGCGGGGACCGAGCTCTGCAGCTCCCCTCCCGGGAAGCGGGAGCTGGAGGAAGGACCCGGGCAGACGCCTCTCATAGCAATATCTATATTTTTCCAGCCTGGGCTGCCCCTTGCCGGGCGGAGGGCTCCCTCCAGCCGGCGAGAGGGCGAGCGCTGTGCTTATTTCTTTGCGAGAAGACCTCCTCAGGCACCCCGAGCGGCGCTCCCCGGCCTTTTGCAATATAGAGGGGAAGCAGGTAAGAAGTGCGGTCGCTCCCCCGTGTCTCGCAGCGTTCGTGTGCGCGGTGCCCGCCCGCCGCCGCCGTCCCGCTGCCCGCCGGGCGCAGGGGTGCGGAGCGGGGCGCCGCGGACCCCGGGCATTGTCGCGGCCCCCGTACAAAGCCTGGCGGCCGCCGCCGGAGCGCCTTCCCTTGCCCCCCTTCCCAGCTGCCGCCGGGAAAGGGCTCTGCCTGCCTCGGCTGTGAATGGAGGGGACGGGGGGGAGGTGGTGGGTGGGGGGAGGCTGGGGCACCCGCTTCCCCTGTAGTAAACACTGTTCTGAAACAGTGGCAGAAAAGATCAAAGTGAGCTCTCTATTTCTCTCCTCTCCGGTTCCCTTCCTGCCCCCCACACAGTCTTTTGTTTCAATCCAGGAGAAAATCGGTGAATCACCTAATTAAAACCAAGACATGAATTAAGCATCCATTTTTGTACTACAAATTTCCAGCTCTCCGCTTGTCCCTCCCTTGGTCTCCATTAAAAAAGCGCCAGAGACGCTGTTAAAAGGGGGGTATTTTGCCTCTAGCTTCTAGCTCTGCTTTCTATTTCACTGACTCCTATCCCAGGACCAAAATTGCTTGGCTCTGTAATTACTAGAGTAAGCCTATTTAAGTTAAAAGCTTTCCCCCCCCAACTCTAAATGAAACTTGATGAGGGCCCGTCCTTAGTTATCAAGGGAGTCACTTTCTGGTCAGTCCTCTTGATTCATCTTTTTAGATTTAATCAGCATTAAGGTATTGCTTGTCCTTAAGAGCTTTAGCTTAATGGGGTTACTGGATGGTTTTCTCAGTGTAACGTTTCCCATTTTATATTTATACATATTTGTCTTCGACAAAGACAGGTTAAGGTGGTGGCATGGGGCCTTTTTCTTTCTTTTAAGAAATCCGAAGTGATTTAAAGCATAGGAAAACGGTTTAAAGACTCGGAGCAGGAAATGCAGATTCATTAGGCTGTAGCTGGAAACTGTAACAAAAGGCAATTCCTTGAACAAATGCATCAGAAATCAATTTACATAAAGGTACACGATGCGTTCGGATAAATGCAATGCTAATGGCTTTTAGAGTGGTTTTCTTTCCAAAGTCTCGGGGTTTTTGTTACAGCTTAATTGGTGCAGTTCTCCTGGTTTATTGTGCGGTCACTGGACATACCTCCAGGTACTCTTTCTGAGGAAATGTGTGTTTAAATAGGCCTCAGTTCTCCTCCTGCAGCCGAGTTGGGCCAGTGTCAGGAAAAGTTCGTCCTCGCTGCTCTGGACGTATCAGTCTGAAGGTCCTTAGCAGATAGCCAGATGCCTCGGCATGAGCACATACGGCTTACAAAGGACAAAGACAAAACATGCTGCTTAATTGGCAGTAAATAACTTGATCTTTTTATAGTATAAGTGACTAGAGGAACACCGGGAGTTTATTGGACCCTGGATTGAAGGCAACAAATTAATCGGTTTAGAGTAAGCTTTATGAATTGATTCCTATATTATCTCTCGGTTGTCCTGCTTGCATAAAGCATTTATTAGAAAGTGAAAAATACCCTTAGTAGCAGTTTCGGGGGCGGCCGGAGTAACCGCAGCCGGTGCGATGCACTTCATTACTGCTTTCCTAGGGTCGGTAAACTTTTTTTTTCTTTTTTTTTTTTTTTTTTAGTAACAAAGCTTTAGCATTTAAACTGCTGATCAAGGGCAGATTAGCGAGACAAAAGTTGAGTATGTTTGTGTAGGAAGTTAACAGGCGTCCTAAAGTTCAATGATCTATTATTCGGGCCAGTGTCCTCAATCTGGAGTGTTTTCTCGGGATGTTTTTAGTTCTCCAAAATTAAACTACAGAAAATAAAATCTCAAGGCCTCGAGGGCCAGTCCGAGCCCCTCGTTACCGCCCCGAGCCTGCAGAGCCTCTCCTAGACTGAAAAACCAGTTTCACAACTTTTTTTTTCTCCCCCTCCACTCTTAACACACTTTTTTTCATAAGCAAAACAAACCCCGGGACTGTTCCTGACTTGCGAGCTGCAGCTGCACAAGCCCGGAGCGGGGGGGCGGCGGCTGCGCTCGCTCTGCGCCCCGCGCCCGCCGCGCCCGCCGCTGCCGCCAGCTGCGCGGCCGCGCCCCTGCCCGCGGCCCGGCCCGGCCCGGCGCTGCCCCGCTCGGCGCTGGCCCCGCTCGGCGCTGCCCCGCTCGCCGCTGGCCCGGCCCGGCCCGGCCCGGCCCGCTCGGCGCTGCCCCGCTCGGCGCTGCCCCGCTCGGCCCGGCCCGCTCGGCGCTGCCCCGCTCGGCGCTGGCCCGGCCCGGCCCGGCGCTGACCCGCCCCCGCCCTTCTCTCCGCGCAGGCCATGGTGAACCCCGGCGGCAGCGCGCAGCCGCCCCCGGTCTCGGCGGGCTCCCTCTCCTGGAAGAGGTGCGCCGGCTGCGGGGGGAAGATCGCCGACCGCTTCCTGCTCTACGCCATGGACAGCTACTGGCACAGCCGCTGCCTCAAGTGCTCCTGCTGCCAGGCCCAGCTGGGGGACATCGGCACCTCCTGCTACACCAAGAGCGGGATGATTCTCTGCAGAAACGACTACATCAGGTGAGGCGACGGCCAGGCTGGTGAAGACAGCTTTCCCCCTTTTCTCCTTCAGTTTTCTTTTCCTCCCCGCCCCCGCCTTTATTTCTCGTGGTGGGTGTCTGCAGGGCAGAGGGGTAGGCTGGCTCAGGATGGCTCCTTCATTAGGAGGGAGAGACGTGCGGGTGCGGATGTTAGCACCTAGCCCAGGGCGAG